CAATGGTCAGAACAGTCATCATCAAAAGTCTACAAACTATTAATAAATGCTGGAGAGAGTGTGGAGAAAAGGGAGCCCTCCTACACTACTGGTGGGAATGTAAATTGGTACAACTACTAATGGAGAGCAGTACGGAGGCTCCTTAAAAACCTTAGCACAGACTTACCACATGATCCAGAATCCCACTCTGGGGCATACATCTGGAAAGAAAACATCATCCTAAAGGACACATGCACCTCTACATTCACAGCGGCTCTATTTACAATAGCCAAGATGTGGAGACAACCTAAGTGTCCATCAAGAGGGATGGATAAAGGAGATGTGGTGTACACATATATACAATGGAGTGTTACTCAGCCACAAAAAGAGTGACATAATGCCATTTGCAGCACCATGGACTGATTCAGATCACATACTAAGTGGAGCAAGTAAGAAAGAGAAAGACAAATATGTATCAGTCATATGTGGAATCTGATTTTTAAAAAAGATACAAATGAACTTATTTACAAAACAGAAGCAGACTTATGTTGAAAACAAACTTAGGGTTACTGAAGGGGAGACACGGGTGGGGAGGCATAAATCAGGAGCCTGGGTTGAACACATGTACACTACTATGTCTAAGACAGATGCCTGGCATGCTACCCAGTAGACTGTAATAATCTATAAGAGAAAAGACTCTAAAAAAATAAACGTATAACTGCATCACTTTGCTGTACGGTAGAAACTAGCACAACAGTGTAAATCAACTATGCTTTGATAAAAAATTTTTTTAAAAGGTCAGAGGTCACAAACTGGTGGTCTTTGGGGGTAAGAAGGTTCCTGAAGACATGTTTGGTCTGACTCAAGAGTGTTTCAATTTTTAAAAAAAAATTGTCAACACTAGAAATTAAAACATGAAAATCCAGATTTCTCATTCCTCTTGCAAAATATAAAGACCTTACGCCTGACCTCTACCCTCTCCAGTAAATTCCACATCAGCATGCACAGATGGCAGCTGCTTGAGATGGGGACTCCTGTCTCCCTAGTGATGAATCATGCTCACCACCCTTGGCTCCTTTAGGCCAAGGTCCTGGCCCCAGCGGGCATTTGTATTTGCAACTCCTAACATGTCTGTTTCTTCATTTCAGAATGAGGAAACAGGCTGCAAAAAAATGAACTGTTGGAAGTCACACATTTACTTATGGCACAGGGTGCAAGTGGGATCCAGGGTCACCGTGCAGGCCTCATCCACTATAACACTCAAGTTCAATGCCATGACATCCTGGTCAGTCCAAGAAGGATGTAGGCACAGCAGATCAAGAGGGGCCGAGTACAAGAAACAGGCCAAAGCAGGCAGGACTTCCAGGTACAGACTTTTGCAGAGGAAGTCTTTGGTGGCAACATTTGAAAGAGGTTCCCTGTCTTGCCTTCTAAAGCCCAGCCACCTTTGCAGACAGTTCTTGATTTCAGCTGCAGAATTGCTCTCTGGTCCATCCATCTGTCTCTGCTGCCACTTCCGATCCCTTTGCTGGCCTCCATGTCTTGCCAGAATGAATGCAGTCGTCCCCTAACTTATCTCCTCTTGCCCTACTGACTGTGATCCTTCCCTGATGCAATGAAAATGATCTTCCTTAAATGGACATCTAGTCATGCCAGTGTTTTTCCATTGTCTCTCCATCCCTGCTCATAAAGTATAAACTCCTTAGCACATTTTATAAGAAGCCCTGCAGGACCCACCCTGGCTTACATTTCTGGCCACATCAGCTCTTGCTGTTCTCCCCATCAGGGCTCTGGCCACCCTACCTCTCCAGAATGAATCTCTCTCTCCACCTGGAACATCGCCCCTCTCCTGGTGAACTCCAGCTCAGTCTTCAGGCCTCCATTTAGGTCGAACTCTCTAGGACATCTGTCCTATACTGTCTCCACCCTAGATCAGGCTGACAACCCTGGGACAGGACACACCCATCAGGGTACCTAAAGAGTCTGTCTGTAATCAGCCGTCATTCCTGTTGGTCTAAAGCTATGGGATTCACAGATCCTATCTGTGTGGGTCACAAATATGGGGGCCTTAAGGTACCTTGTCATGGTTACTCACTAAATGAATGGAAACTCTGGATAGAGGAGGAGAAAAGTCAGGGAAGCCCCACTACTTTTCACCCTAGATAGGAAGTCACTCTGCTTCTCTGGTCTCTCTTCACATGTGCACGAGAAGAGGCTGGGCGAATCGGCAGATGAATGGATAAAGAAGTTGTGGTACCTATATACAACAGAATATTACTCAGCCATAAAAAGGGACACATTTGAGTCAGTTCCTGTGAGGTGGATGAACCCAGAGCCTGTTAGAGTGAAGTAAGTCAGAAACAGATACCGTATATTAACACATATATATGGAATCTGGAAAAATGGTACTGATATACCTATTTGCAGGGCAGGAATACAGATACAAACATAGAGAACAGATGTGTAGTCACAGTGAGGGAAAGAGAGGGTGGGACGAACTGAGAAAGTAGCACTGAAATATATACATTGCCACATGTAAAACAGAGAGCTAGTGGGAAGTTTCTGTATAACACAGGGAAATTAATGCTGTACCCTGTGACAACCTAGAGTGGTGGGATGGGGTGGGGAGAAGGTTCTAGAGGGAGGAGACATGAATACTTAAGGCTGCTTCATGTTATTGTATGGCAGAAACCAACCCAACATTGTAAAGCAATTATCCTCCAATTAAAAATAATTAAAAAAGAAAGCACTGGATAGGAGCAGTTATTTTCGGCTCAGGGTCTTGGCCTGTGAAGAAAGGAATGGGCTTTTAGGGGCAATTTGCAATATTTCAAAATGCACAAGGGAAACCACACATGTTCTTCTGATGTGGCTACAGGCCAACAGAAACTTCAGGTCACTCTGCAGTAAGAAAGTGCTGATTAATGGGCAATACCAGTTATATCACATTGGGTAAGGTCATGATTAGCAATTATTGACAGCTTTGATCAATAAAACACAGGAAGATAAAATACATTCTGAATAGTCTGTTCATGTGTAATGTTTTTCAAATCACGAGAACCATGAGGCAAAATAATAAAACAGTCTTTGGATGGGAGAACAGAGACCTGACTTTTAAGATGGGGCCAAGTTCAACTAGCTGGAAGGAGGTCTCCACAGGTGCTCCTGCACAAGAGTCCCAGAGGGTGCAGGGTGGGCTATGGTCCAGTCCAGAAGCCTCTCTCTGGCAGGTGGGAGGTCAGCTCTCCACCCCCCCACCATCTGTTTGCTTGGAAACCCTACCCGATGCACCCAGAGTCTGTCACCAACCTGCAAGTAGCTGAGGTCTCAGGATTCACAAGAATCAGGGGCTGAAAGTGCGGTCTTGCCACGCGGGGGCGCCCTCACTCCACACACCGAGATCCCAAGGCCCAGCTGGAGCCAGAGGACAGCTCCATTCCTGAAGCCCCGGCAGGGTCCTGGGTTCAGGGTGCTCAGTGTCACTGCCCATGTGTTCTGAGAAGACACCTCCCATCCTGCCTGACTGAGGGGTGTGTTGCCTTGAGGTCACTCATCTGTGATTCTTAACCGAGACAGGCTGGAAGGGATTCCACCTGCTCAGTGGGCAGAAACATTCCAAGATAAGCCTGGATGGAAACAATTCAGAAAGTGGACAGGGAACACCGACTGCCTTCCCCTGCTCTGGAGAGCAGGGCAGGGGTTGGGGGGGGGGGGGCGGTGGGACGGGTGTGCTCACATCAAACACATACTGTGGCTCCAGGAACAAAGGGTTAAAGACTCTTGTGGGAGTTCTTTTAAGACTGTAAGACTGAGAGACAGACAGATACACACGGCGGAGGGAAGTGGGGAGGGCCAGAGACCAGGCGAGAAAGAATCCTGATCCTGCTCTGCCAGGCACAGTGGGTAGCCACAGAGCAGCCAGACAAGTATGAAGCAGGCAGTCTGTAGAGCTGGGGTCCGAAGGATGTTGGTTCAAATCCTGACGCAGCCCAGGCGTACCTGAGCAGGTTACCTTGCCTCCCTGAGCCTGTCTGTTCACAGGAGCAGGGAGAGTGTCACCATACCTGCCTTTTAAACTCCGTGTGGATCCAGCAGGACAGTACATGCAAACCACCCCTCGTGCTATCTGGGTCAGGAGGGTACTCAGGAGCAGCAGTGACTCACGCTGACATATGACAGGGATGAAGGGTTAAAGCAAACTTGGACCAGTTACATGTTGTGACTTCAGTTTGCGTGCTTGGGGACTTTCAGGCTAGGTGGATTCTACAGTCCCTTCTGCTTCAGATGGTTTGTTATTCCACAACAAATGCCACCCCCCACACAGCCACCTATGCCTCTCACAAGTCGGGAGCTTTCTCCAGTTGCTGGATCCCTGCCCTCCATGTTAGGAGGGCTGGAAGGGAGTCACAGCTGCCACGGCAGCAGCAATGATCAGTACACGGCCCTGGGGTTAGGCCGGCTGCCCTCGGCTCCCCCTTTCGTAGGTATGCAGCCCCACATGCCAACTCCCCATCTCAGCCCCTCAGTCTCCCACTGGGAAAACAAAGATTAATAATGGTACCTGTGGCAAGGATTGCAAGGGGAGGGAATGAAATCCCACTTGTCAGGCATTCAGAACTGTGCCAGGCACTCAGCGAGCACTTCAATGCATGTTAGCCATCACCACCACTTTGATTTGTTTTACAGAATAGGCAGTGATCTTACTAGAATGCTTAGATGAAGGCTGTCTGATCCAAAATTAGAAGAGGGATGTTTTCATGAAAGCTATAGACAGAGCATTAGACTGGGAGACAAGAGATGCTTTCTAGACCAAGCTCTGCCTTGAACATTTCATGAGGTAAACTGGGATTTCAAGCCAGTAGTCAGAAAAATAAGGTATTGGGTAGTCGTGGGGCCCCTCCAAACCCGGCAGTCAGGGGCCGTATCCCTGGGTGGATTTAGGTAGTTCCCGTCCCCTTCTGGGTTCCAGCCGCCCCATTCAGAGAGGGGGTAATTGGAGCCTGCACCCCGCGCGTCCTCACCTGAGGTACTCATAGAGTCCGTACATGGGCAGGAAGTCGATGTCGGACAGGAACATGTAGGGCGTGCCCACGTGCTTCATGGCCACGTTGCGCAGCAGGTTCACGGGGTAGAACTGGCCCTCCTTGTACACGATGTGGTAGGCCACGTTGTGGCGGCCCATGAGCACCTCGGAGCCCTGTGCGTAGCGGAGGAACTGCTGGGCCTCGGCGTCCGACAGGTAGAGCGCCAGGCTGACGGGCCCCTCCCAGTGTTTGCAGATGGCCTCCAGCATCTGGAGCCTGCAAGAGGAAAGGACACCTGACGCACCTGCGCATGCGCGGGCCTCACCGGCGTAACCAACCACTATCTGCGTACCTGCGCATTGTCCGCCAGCCTGGGGCGGGTGCCGAATCCAGACCCCTGCTCTAAGCATTAGTCAAACACTGTGTGACGGGGGCCAATCACCAAACCTCCGTTCCTTTATCTATAAAACGGGCACAAAACACTCGGCTTTTTGCTTCTAGCCTTTGAATGTTTACAACCAGACAGGTGACATGGAGAGAGTCACATTTCACTATAAGCCTTTTCAGGCTCCTCTTTTCAATAGTGGGTGGGAAAAGTACATGGAATGATGTAAAGATCCCTTTCCAGCTTAAAACTCCCCACCTCCCCCTCTCGCTCAGCAAAGGTAGACAGCAGTGCTACTACTCTCCTGAAGCAGCGACCAGCAGAGGAGGCTTGGCCAAAGGGAGGCCATGAGTTACAAGGAGCATGAAAACAAGCTGCAAACATGAGAGTAATAATAACCACAATGACCGACTCATCACTATGCACCAGGCATTTCCCAGACCCTGTGCCCCTCATCTGTTATTCCCCCCATTCTCCTGATGAAGGAACTGAGGCTCCAGGTGTCCATTCAGCTTTAGTGTTGGACCTGGACTGTGTGCACAGGTACCTGGACAGAACTTTGAAGACAGTGAAAAGAAAACACTGGCAAAGGGAAGGAAAAAAAAAACCAAAACATGTGAATGCTGGAAACAAAAGTGAGCCTGGGGTGATGCTGTCTTCATTTTTCAGAGCCCTTACTGCTCCGGGGCACCCTGCAATTTTGCAAATCTACCTGGAGACACTGGGCCACGGAGAGTGGGGGGGGGGGGGGAATGAAGCCCAGATAAAAAAACAAAAGGTGCTCCCAACCAAGAGGGTTCTGCAAAAATGTTTGAAGAGACATCTAGAAAAAAAGTATTTTTTCCCCCAGAAGCATTAGAAGTGCCTGCTACATAAAATCTATGGTTAAAAAAACAGCAAAAGCCTATTTCAGTTTTTTTTCCCCTACCCAGCAAGAGGTACAGAATCAGAATGCTCACTTTATTTGGACAATTACCAGGAAATAGAGTCCATGCATTTCCATGCTTCTAAACAAAAGTAAATGGGCACACCTATCTTGTGTCAATGGCTTTCCTGATGGACTTTCAGTTTCCTCTCAGTAATTCTGTGAATTGGTATTGCCTGGATTTGCTTCCTCTTTCACTAAGGAGGATTAAGGTATTCATGGGGTAAAATGCCCTCCATTTCTCATACTTTATAGCACTTGTTATAAAGAGTTTTGAAAGAGGCACTATATTCTCCACAATGCTTGATTTCACTGAAATTTGTGTTCTGCCTCTGCTACAAGGCCCCTGGTTTCTGCTGGGCTCTGAGAACCTGGGATTTTGAATGATCCCACCTGCATTTCAGTCTTTGCAAAATGGAAGGACTCTGCAATTGGATGAGAGCTGTTTATACAAAGCCTTTGAAATTTGGGGAGTAAAGGGCAAGGATAATTTCTGCATCCATGTGGATGTCAGAACTGCTAAAGGGGACGGGATGCAGGAGGCATGACTGAGTGTGAAGGGAGGCCAACTTTGGCTGGGGACTCTCCCACTGACCTGCTTTTGGATTTTGTGTCTGAGTTTTCTAAGCAGGGAGCAAGCCCTGCCTGATCCAGCTCATCTTCCCCCCAGCAAAGAGTTTAGAGTGAGGACAGAGACACAAAATACTTAGGGTTTTTGGGAGAAAGGTGCTGCTAATGTGACAAACATCACATCCACGTGGACTTTACAGGAATCAGCGCCAGAGGTTCCAGAAAACCTCAGTGAGTGAAAATGAGTGATGGCTCGGCCACTTCCTGTCTTCCTGCCACCGGCTCCAATCTCTCTTGTCCCTTAAAACCAAGCTCCCTGCTGGGATCTGAGCAACAGGCAGATAGACAAACCGAGGTTCATCATGATGATGATAATAGAGAGAATGTGATCATGATACAATAAATCTCTACCACATAGCTGTTGTTTACGGCATGCCAGCCACATTTGGGCTGTTAGCACTTTTAAGACTCACAGTAATGCTATAAACACAGTGCAGATTCTCATCACTGTGTTACAGGGGAGGATGCTCCAAGAGGAGAAGCGACTTCTTTCAAGTCACATAGCTATAAGGTAGACAGGCTGGATCCACACACCCAGGTCTGACTCCAGCGCCCGGGATCCAGACCACTAGTCAACATGAACTGGGTTTGGCTGAGAAAGATGTTCCCATCACCTGTCTCCCCAAACTGGAACCTGGTCTAAGCTTGGCATCAGCTTCCCTTTATTCCCTCTTCCTCCTCTTCCTCCTTGGTCTCTCTTGGGGTCAGAGGTCCCCCATCCTCTTCATCTTTCTCCTGGTTGTTTCCCCCCAAACACACTGGTTCCCTAAGGTCTGTCCCTGTGTAGTTCTTGTTGACACTGAGTTTTGTGCTGAGTCTTTCTTAGGTAGGAAGATAAGGATCTGGCATATCAAGGACCTGGACCAATGGAGAGGGTTTCAAGAGACAAAGATTAATTCTGCAACTGCAGTATCATCCATTTGGAAAGAACCTCTGAGATTTGCAGTCTGATTACACCATCATTATGATGAAAGGGCTCAGCCTCAGGGAGGGTCTTGACTTGCTGAAGAGCACGCAGCATACGAGAGGAAACGCTGACACCAGGACCCATCCTGATGCTCTGCCCCTGCTCTCCCCTCCCCCGCCATGCCCCCCATCGCTTCATGCTGGGAAGAGGAGGGCAAAGGCTCAGGAATGCCTAGAGATGTCTGGAAGGCCTGCCTCTTTCAGATGTCTGAAAAAGGCAGGGCTTCCCCCAGGGGGTCCTACTGAGACAGGGAGCCCCAGACAGTCTCCGGACGTGTCAGGGAGCAGGCAGGGAGATGGCCGAGTCCAAAATCTAGAAGACTGGGCTTGGAAGGAACTCTAGAATGTCAGTCATTCCAAGCAGCCAGGCAGGTGGCCACTCAGCCTCTGATGGAATGGGGAACCTGCTCCCTACAAGGCAGATGACTCCAATCTGGTACCCTGAGCAAGGCAGGCTGAGGGGTCCAGAGGGAAACTGAGGGTTCTGGGCTCAGGCAGAACTAGGTCTGAACTCTGACCTGTGTCAGTATCTCTGGGCAAGTGACCATGTTGTTTGTGCCTCCATTTCCGCACATGCATATAGGGGACAATAATACCTTAGTCAATGACAAATTGGCTATAAACTCTTCCCCCCTATCTACATGCTTTGCTATTGCCCTCCCCCTCACTGATTCTGGGCTGCCATGGGACGTGCTTTGGTCCATGGGACATTAACAAATGTGACACAAGAAGGGGCCTTGAAAAGTGGTTGTTTGGCGCAATCCGCCTGCAACGTGGGAGCTGCAGGAGATGTGGGTTCGATCCTTGGGTCGGGAAGATCCCTTGGAGCAGGGCATGGCAACCCACTCCAGTATTCTTGCCTGGAGAATTCCATGGACGGAGGAGCCTGGTGGGCTATAGTTCACGGGGTTGCAAAGAGTTGGACATGACTGAAGCGACAGCACACATCCACGCTTGGTACTTGACACCTGTGATTCTTGCCTTTCAAATACGCACACCTCCAGCAAATATCTACAGAGCATCTACAACATGCAGGTATTGTGCTGGGCCCCAGAATGAATGAGAAAGACAAGGTTTTCGAATGCACTTCTGGAGAGAAGATAATAAGCAGACCAAGATAAGATCAGAGTGAAGTGAGGGCTAGAGGGGCCACAGAACATGAAATGGGATGAAGAGTAAGGGTGAGGGCAAGTGGAAAGGTCAGTGTGAGCCCTGGACAAGGAGAGAGACTGGTCTCGATCTTGAGAAAGCCTGGGTGAAAAGTTTTCCAGGAAGAGGGAGGAGCCCTTGGGATACAGAATTTAGTGTGTTCTCAAGAAGAAACAGGACCAGCGTAGATGGCATATGGACAAGAGAGGGGCAGAAGGAGAGAGGTGTTTGGGGATGGTCAGGGATCAGGTCATACAGGGACGTCAAGGTCTTGGTGGGCAGCTCTAAGACCACTCTAAAGGCAATAAGAATGCATCAGAGTGTTCTAATGATGTGACCTGCTCTCTCTCTATATATATAAAGATCGCCCTGGCTGTCACATGGTGAAAGGAGTACTTTTCACTCTCTAGAATGATGCTTTCCAAGCTTCAGCAGGCTCAGGGTCACCTAGGAGGCTTATTACAACACAGATTCCTGGGCCCCACTGCAGAGATCCCTGTTGGGCAGATCTGGGGTGAGATCCATGTATCTGTGCTCTAACAAGGTCCCAAGAGACGCTGTGCTGTGATGGGACTTAAGAATGGGACCCCGTTAGCTCAGCTCATGTTCTCTTTCCCTCACTTGCACAAAACAGAGCAGGCCCATCAGCCACATGAGTCCCTGGAACTGCAGTTGGTACTTCAAGGGCTTCCTTCAAGAAGCAGGGAAGAGCAAGCATCTCCCAGCCAGGTGGCAGGGATGCTGTAATCAGGATCCCTCCTGGCCAGCTCTCTCTGTCCTTTCGACCACCCTCCGGAGTGAGTGGCTGGGCAAGGAGCAGCCCCGCCGGGTCCACCTCTGCAGCAGGCGACATTCATTCTTTCTGCCGGAATTCTAGAGGGAGCCGCGCACAGGAGCCCACATGCCGGCTCCCCTAATGCGTTGTGGCACTCACGTAGGGCCTCCTTCTGACTCAAAGGTTTACAAATATACCCAAAATGCTTCTTCAATTAAAAAATCAATCCAAGAGGCACCAGTGAGCCCGCTGCATCGTAATTGGATGTGTGGGGTAGAGTGGAAGGAGGCATTTCCGCCGTCTTCATCAGCTTGTGTGCTACTGCTTTATAATTCCTGATTATGTCCCGCGAAGCGTCTCTTGCTTGGGTGTGGAATTCCTTGAGTTCTCTGAGGTATTGTCTGGATGGCAGTACTTGTCACAATGCGTTAGGGGGGATCACACGT